CATACTGTGGCTTGGCGACTCTCGTTATCATTTTGAATACTCTAGAGGTTGATCCAGGACGAGTGTGGAAGGCTCCATGGAGATGGTATCATGAAGAGATGCTCACGTGCTGCTTACCTCCTGATGCACTAAAGAAAGGAATCGTGCTTGATCAATTTGTCTCCATAGCCAAGTGTAATGGACTAAATGTAAGGCATTTTGCAGAATATACTTAAGAATTCTCTGTATTTTTATATTTTTATGTTAAACAAACGCATTTTGGGAATCTGATATCTGCTTATTATGCTTTTTCTCTTGGACGTATAGTAAATTCGTTAAGTGTACATAATCTAGGTTGTAATATCGAAATTAAAATGTAAGGTCGAAATGCGTGAGATTTTATTTAACTGAGGCCCAGTTAATGGACAATTACGGTGTATTAGGCCATAGTTTCATAGTAAATTACATATTTTTTATTCACATTTTCGCGAAAAAATGTAATAGCTACTTTTATGGATAAATAATCTATCCCTCTACTCTTGTGAGGTGAATATATTTTGGTTACTTGTGAGTAATTCCTTATTTTAGGTGGAACTGCATCGTGCCACTGAAAACGAGAGTGCCAGGACTTTTCGCGAGGTCGTGGCACATGCTACTCGAAAGGAGCCACATCATGGAATTATCGCAGTTTCCTTTGCCCGCAGTGCCCTTAGACAAACTGGAGGCGGCCATTTCTCTGTTATAGCTGGCTATCATCCGGACCGTGAAATGGTTCTCTTGTTAGACACTGCTCGGTTTAAATATCCTCCACACTGGGCTCCGTTGGGCCGCTTATGGAAAGGTATGTGTGATATTGATGAAGACACTCAATTGCCACGTGGCTATATGCTCATTCGAAGGGAAGATGGCTGGGAGGCAAATTTGACTGAAGCGCCTGCAACGAAGGGCTCGAAAACTTCTGGTCCTCAGGAGGTTGTGACTGATATTCAGGAAGAGCGGAGTTACGCTGAGGCATTAAAGATATTTGTTGTCTCTGACGCTGCCTGGCAGGTTCGTAGTCTTATGTCTTCTCGTACCCCCTGAAATGCAAAATTTTTACTTTCATGCCAATGCAACCTATGTGTAGTTTTCTTTAAAACTCGATTTAGCATGACAGACCTCTTGAATTTCTTTCTTCTAATGCTGATACCTGTTCCCTGCCAAACAAAATAATCC